AGCGTCAAAATTGAGATACCCACAAATGTTTAGAAATAGGGACGTGTAATTGAATACAAATTAGGATACACTTGCCTAGTTCGGCCGACTACAATAAAACGAACTTGTCTCGTAGAATGAACCCCTTTCCAATCTTTAAATGCGTTTCAAACATTTTTGAAGTTGTCTATAGGAACTTGGGAGTATTACTAGGCTTTGCCAGGGATAATATTTTTACTTAAAATCTCAGACATGCCATTAAAACCTTCCCGTACTACTAAAATTATTACTATTTTTAATTCAAATATCATTTCGCAAATATATTTTGAAGTGATTTGATGTTGGGCGGATGCATTATTCATTCATCTCCATATACATAACTACTAGCTGTTATAGGATTTGTCGGAATAAAATGGGTTTTTATTTAATCCAGAGTAAAATACACAGAAAATAAACTCTGGCACACTCGTAATTACCTATTTCGTTGCTTGGCGCTTAAAATTCTCTAGCATAGTCTGCGGATAATCTAGCCGGGAGGTTCTTAAAATGGTTTATATTGACATTGTGATCCTAGCAATACACTGAAAAACTATTATTTGTATGTGAACTAATAATGCTATATGTATCACATTTCCTCACTCCGAAGCTAACTGTATACTCCTGTTTTGTTTTTGTGAAGTCGGAATAGTTTGATGATCGTTCCAAAGGTAGATTGAAATTGAATTTGACTATTCGTCAAGTCCTAAAGCCATTATCATAGACCTTTTATTGTCCTGGAAATAGACTTTGTCACGTCTCACAGCATCAAATCTTTACTAATCTACACAACTCTGATAAGAAAAGTAGACTCTTGCACAGAACAGGTGAAAGGAACTGCATAGTGGGCAGCGGGAAGTGGTCAGTGATCAGTAGAAATGGAACACACAGTGCATTGCCAGCTAACCAGCCAACCATCCAGGACAGGCAGAGACAGAGCAACAAGCGGACAGACAGACAGACGGACAGACAGACAGACATACGGACAGACAGACATGCTAAGATCGAAGAGATCGACTTAGTGGCTCGTATGCGCGGTATGTCTCACAAATGATAAGCACACGCACCCTCCCCAGTTCCACTGAGCCGCCAGATTCAACTGCAGCTCCAGGTTTTGGTCATGCCGTGGCCAAAAGAAACAGGAAACAACAATGTTGTACGAGAAATTTGATTTCTTGTATTCGCGTTCGTTTGCGTTTGTATTCACATTCGCATTCACCTGTTGTTATTTTGAGTGTGTTTATTTTTGCGACGACGGCGACGCCAGAAACGGGTACAACAATCACAAGAGTAACAACAACAACAACACGGGCTGTAGCAACAACATCAGCAACAACAACGCGACACCACAACTAGTTTTCCATGTTTCGCATCGCGCGCATTCGCATTCCGAAGTTTTCGTCTCCCTCTCCGAACTGATCTTGGGTTGCAGCGGAGTCTCAGGCACTGGCATCGTCTCTTCTACCGGAGGGTCGGCGCCGCGATTCAGATTCGGCTTTATCTATCTACTTCAAAACACGTTTTCGCAGCATTTTCTCAATAGACTAGTACACGCAAGCTTTTGAGCCCGAATACAAATACAAACACAGTTACACACACACACACACACACACACACACACACACACACACACATGCACATGCACGCACGTCGCGTCGCAGGCACATTCGATTTTTATGCGTAACAAAATGCAGGTTCCAGGCTTCAGCCCGACTTCAGGCCGACTTTTCAACAATTTTGAATAAACACACTTGCTTTTCTTGGCTTTTCTGCGTAAGTGCGTGTGTGAGTGTGTTGGCGCTGACATTAAGCAATGGAAGGGGAATCATTCAAATGGCTTGCGATTAGATAATGAAAAAACAGGTATATACCCGATATATGTATGACACTTTGGAACTGTACAAGTTGAATCATATAAAACACATATTATTTCAGTTACAGCCTTGCGTAAAAGATTCAGGAGGCAGTACTTGGAAAGCAACAGTTCGCATAGAATATCGTGCACTTATTGAATTATATAGGTACAACTATATAACTAAATAGGTATAACTATTTACCCCGCCAACTAATAGATCAACGTACAGCCGGACACACTATTACAGGGCTACGGAAAATTTCATTCGTAAGGTTGTTTGCTTGTTTTAAAAATCTTTGGAAAAATTTATTTGAGATGTGTAAGAAATCTATTCATCTAGGTGAAAAATGGTGTTGGTAATGGAAACCTGTTCATTGCAACTATTTGGCTTTTATCCGATTAGCTTTGCACTTGCACGGGCTTTACTACTGTTATCCCACTTCTTAATGAAGTTAGGATCAATTTAAAGTTTTCTTTGGGCAGTATGCTTGAATTTACTTTCCCAATTCGTGATCGACATTTTATGCAGACAATTAACCGGAAAGACGGGCATAGCTTAATGGATCTCGACACGAGCTGACCTAAAAGATAAATAATAGGTCCGAAATGCCTCCTCTTGACTTGAACATACATTTCCAGAAAATCATCATATCCATTTTAAACCCAGGATATTTTTCAATGACGGGCGCACAATGCAATTAACCAATTACGCAGAATATTCTCCAGCTGGCAGTTTTCGTTATTCGTTATACGGCTCGGCTGGCGTTCACTGATCGAATTTGAATTTGAATCCGTCGCCTTGAATCTGTGGAATAACAACTATGTTCATTTGCAAAGAAAACGCTATTTTTATTTTGTTTTATTTGCTTTCATAGTAGTAAATGTCCAGTTTAACCAGCTCCTCAGAACTGGATAAAAACCTGTCGCTGTTGCCCACCTCACCCTCCCCTTAATGGCTTGCACAATTCTGTTTAGCTTAATGAGCATGCGTGCGAAGGTGTGACTGTGTGAGTGTGTAGATTGAAAAAGATACAGGTACATGCAGCGGGCTGCATAAATTAGCTAGGACTACCATTTGAAAAGACATAGGGGGCCTCAACAAATAAAGTCACCTAGGGCACAGCTTATTTTACCTTTCCAGGACCTAAATGCTTGATTGATAGTTTTCAATTTCCTTCCTTACAAAATGTCTGCTAATGTTGATAATTATTCTGTCGCCACTCTTATAATTTTGCAATATCTTCTTTTTCAAGTTATTTTGGTATCCCTTTGAAAATTGGTTAAAGGTTGAGTTGCAAATCTACTATAATATCAGGACGATGACCTGAGTCGATAATGAAGTTCGTCTCTGTGAAAGCACACACACACACACACACACACACACACACACACACACACACACACCCACACACACACACACACACACACACACACACACACACACACACACACACACACACACACACACACACACACACACACACACACACACACACACACACACACACACACACACACACACACACACACACACACACACACACACACACACACACACACACACACACACACACACACACACACACACACACATCGATTTTCATTTTGTTACTGTCCCTGTCACAGTCTGTCATTGTTTTATAGTCGCGTCTTTGCCAATGCCGCCTTGCCGTCATGGGAACTCCTTACTAGAACATTTAGTATATGGGCGTAGATCCCGAGCTTACGTCTGTCTACTTCTAAGTAGATGGAAGAAAATTCTTCAAGACGTCGCACTCTTGCGGCTTTACCCCGCCTCTTGCGCCTCAAGTATTTCTGTTTGAGAATATGCATTTGCTTCATTGTTTTGCCTTGATTGTCTCTTTGATGTGACCGTGGCCCTTATTACAACCGAGTACAAGTCCATACACATGCTGGCAGTCCTGCAATTTATGGCGTTTCTAGATGACACTCTTAAACAATCGCAAACAATCGACTGGGGTCCAACCAACAGGCTTAACAACAAATAGCAACAAATGCAAGGCCCCGTGACAGATGTATAGAGTATTATCATCAGGGATCCTGAGAATCAAATAAAGCCAAGTACGAACCTGTTAGTCGATTGAATTGTATTGGATAACTAAATGTGTGTACAAATTATAGAAGATAAAGATCGATACCAAAATTGGAAAGGACATCACTTTTTAAATGAAACAGCTTTAGATAAAAAATATTAGTCGACTACTTCATTTGTTATCCTTGCAAGGGGCTGGACTTAATGCTTTGCATAATCGAGCTAATCGAAATAAGGAAGAGTGATTTGATTCCAACATAGCTATTCGTGTGCGTTGTAAAAAAATAATAAAGGATTCGGTTCGAACCGGTCAAACTAACTGCACACAACATAAACGACAACAAATACATAAATCAAAACGCGAACGCAATTCAAACAAAATAGAGGTAAGCGCATGCTGCCCCGGTAACAGTTATGTATATGTAAGTAGTTACTTACGAGTCGACTCGAGTCGAGTCTTCATGCTGTCTCGGCTCAGTAACTCAGGGCCCCAGCAGCAGCAGCAGCATACACTCGGCAATCGGGCGCGTTTGCAATTACAGAAAACCAGTCAGAGTCTTCCAATCGAGAGTATGATCTGAGTTAGGAGCTGAACCGAGCTGAACTTCACCAGTGCTTTTCCCATGCAAAGTCTGCTGTCTGCGTGGCAAATGCACCTGTCGCATTCAGTGCTTGTGCGCAGCCAGTGGCCAGTGGCGAGTGCCGAGTGGCAATGGTTCAGAGTAGAAAACTGGTCCCGGGCTCAAATTTTTAGTTGCAATCCCAAAGTTTGTATATATGTTATAGGAAAATTTAATTCAAGTTCACAAATATATGCAGCATGTACACCCATGCTCATGCATAATACTCTTGAAATAAAAGCGTTTCCGACTGTACAATAATTGATATCATATGGCACAGAAATTTATTGATTATTATCTTTGGGATTTGAAAATTGTGGAAGGGTTTCTTAATATTTGAAGGAGATCATCAGTTTCGCTATTTTCACTTTGCCAATCTTAACCCACTAACGGAAAAAACTAATATCCTACCCTGAACCCTAAGAACTACTTAAACCTCAAAAAATTTACAACTCACCTTTGCTATTGCAGCTTGATCTGAATAGTTATTCCATATATTTATTTATTTATTTATTTTTCTATTCCTTTTTCTTATAATTTTGTTGACTAGGTCCACTTATTTTATTTTAAATCTCTAAATTTGTATATGGCACTTGAATAAATGTTCATTCAGTCGCTTGGGTCACATTTCACTTTAAGCCGCACATACTACCGACCTGGGTAGTTGTGTTGGGAGGCTTACGGCGATCCAAAGGTTTGAAAAGTTTTTCTAATGGATCTCCGGCATAGTCAAGTCATATTTGACATCAACGTCAAATTGCTGTCGATTTTCCTACTCTCTGCCAGTAGTCGCCGTAAACACAAAAAAACATTTTAGTTTGTTGTGATAAGTGTGTGACCTTTCATCGCCAGTTCAAATTTAGTTTTGTGGACCGACTATTCAAGTGAGAATATAGGCATACTCATTGTCGTTAGCGTGTGCCCCTCTCTCTCTCTCTCTCTCTCTCTCTCTCTCTCTCAGCTTCAGACGGCAATACTCGATCGGTTCTAAATACACACACTCACTGAGGGACCTTTATAAGTCCACCGACACGACATCCTTCTGGCTAATTCACGCTTTTAAACATAGTTTACAGCCCAATTAGGTTATAATTACGGTGATTAACGGCAACGGATAAAAGCTTACTTTTTGCGCATTTAACTTGGCGAGTTTTCTTAAGTTCGATTGTTGAAATTTTGAGTTCGATGCACGCGTGAAACGTGAAACGGACTAGCGGGAAAACGGTCTACCGACAACTGCAAGAGCAGCAGAAACGGCAACGACACCGACAACGACAGCGACAACAATTGTAACGGCGACACGACAACCTAACCTCCACCACCACCACCACTGCGTGGCAATGTTCAATTGTCACTGATTTCAATTGGATTCCAATTCCACCTTCGGCCGCTCCAACGGGCTGCAGTGTGATGCGACTGTAAGAGGGATGCTCTTCGGCTCCACGACTTATTTAAGAGATTCATCTTCATTCGGCTTGGCTTCGGTTTTGCTTTCACATTCGTATTTTCTAGTCACACTCGCATTCGGCCCACCAGCATCAGCACGTTTTCTTTTTGTGCATACATCTCTTCAGCATTAGTCTCTTTGGACTTAAGAGAGCCTTTCATAGTCACAGATGTAGCGGAGAGAAGCTGCTGAGCAAAGTGAAGCAAGTAACCAATGATAGCTGCTCACTGCCCATTGACAACCAATCGCTGGTTTATCGAATTCGGCGCCGCCCAGTGAGCGCCCGGTGTCATATATAGCACGCATGACTCTTAAATCTGGTTTTTGACTCTATAAGGGCCGAACAGGCCATATGTATCCTTAAATAAGTCTACACTGGAAAAAATCACATTCTTATTATGTGCATATTCATGTTTCCGTCTAGAATATTCGTACTGCGTTAAATACTGATCTTCCAAATCTCCTTTTGTGGTACATTCCCCAACCAACTGTAGTACAGAAAATAAATTGATTTAAATTATTTCAATGCATTTCTTTTCGCTTCAAAAAGAAAAAAAAACGAGAAAGAAAGGCTATCTTCGGCACGCCGAAGATCTAATACCCTTTCAGACCCAACCTTTTCATAATGCTTATTGTGCTTTGCCCGTATCTAAGAAGCATAGGGAAAATAGTTAATGCCGAGTTTGGTCAAGATATCTTGATAAACAAAATGTTTTTTCATACAAAAACTTAATTTTCGACCGATCGTTCCTATGGCAGCTATATGATATAGTGGTCCGATCTGAATAGGATTTTGCATATATATGAGGAGCTTAGTAAAACTAATAAATGCCGAGTTTGTTTAAGATATCTTGATAAACAAAATGTTTTTTCATACAAAAACTTAATTTTCGACCGATCGTTCCTATGGCAGCTATATGATATAGTGGTCCGATTCAGCTGGTTTTCACATATGTGCTGCGTGCAATAGAAAGAGGGACTTCTGCAAAATTTCATAAAGATAGCTTTAAAATTAAGGGACTAGTTCGCATACAAACAGACAGACGGACAGACGGACATGGCTCTATCGACTCGGCTGTTGATGCTGATCAAGAATATATATACTTTATGGGGTCGGAGATGTATCCTTCTATGCGTTACACATTTCACGACAAAATTATAATACCCTCTGCAAAGGTATAAAAAGCAATTGGTTGTGGGCGGGACGTTCCGTCTCTTGGTACGATTTAGGTATGTGTTGAACATGTTTGAAAGAAAGAGATAGGAAGCTGTGTAGCATGAGTTGAAAAATGGCGAAAAACTATTGTCTACTATTCGATTTTCTGAGATTCATTTGAGAGGTGTTTCACACTTTTCGCAAAATCTGCCCTCTAAGATGAAAAATGCAGATAAAACAAGTAAGAGGTTCTAGTCGGGAGCTCGTGACTAGGGGATACTCTGAACCCTGTTCCTCCAATATCAAATATATTTATTTATATTCTATTTTGGAAGCTATATGTCAAGTTTGGTGACTCTAGCTCTTATTATTTTCCAAAATTGCCCAAATAACAGGATAACGATATAGATTTTTATCGATTGCTTGAAAACGGAGTAAGTTATCGATTATCGAAAACAAACTCGGTCTGCGCGGGAACTAGGAGCATCTACATCTAAAATTTCAAGTCTCTAGCTTTTATAGGTTCTGAAATCCTTGCGTTCATACATACAGACGGACGAACGGACGGACGGACGGACAGACAGACGGACATGGCTAGATCGACTCGGCTTTTGATGCTGATCAAGAATATATATACTTTATGGGGTCGGAGATGCTTCCTTCTGCCTGATACATACATTTGGCTTCCGCCCAATTTACTCATTTTTAATGGGTTTAGGGTATAACAAGTAAGATGTTCTAGTCGGGAGCTCCCGACTAGGGAACACCCTGAACCCTCTTATTTCAAAGCCAAAATGCACTTCGCGCATCGCGCTCCTTTAAAGTAATAAAGATAAATTAAAAAAAACAAAAGTTGCCTTGGCAGGGTTCGAACTTGCAACTAACCGTATTACTTGCTGACGACACTACTCAACAGACAAACCAGCAAAAAAATAGTTTCCCAGGTAGGGTTCTAACTCGCGACAGACCGCAACTCTTGCTATACCTCTAACAGCCACACAAATAATTAATTATTGTCGAGAAAAAAACAACTGAAATGCTGTTAGAATGCGATGGAATGTGAAGCAGACGCGCATGATTGTCTGTGTACATGTATACACAAATTCATAATGTTTTCGCTAGCTGTGCCACCCACTTGCGCAGTCATATATAACTGGTTTTCTCTTAACCGATCTTAATGAAATTTTCTACAGTATATCTTATTGTACCATAGAATATTTGTGTATTCTCAAAAAATCAATTGCATTAAAATTGTGGCTTAGATTGGTTGGCATTATAAGTTGGGTTATTAACTTGATTTATAGCTCCAGGGTGTTAGCGGCGAGGTGGCGACAGGTATAAAATGAAAGATACTTGATATATATATATAATATTCTAGAAGCAACATATCAACTTTGGTGACTCTAGCTCTTAATATTTACCAAAACTGCTAAAAAAAAAACAGGATGTCGATATCGATTTTTATCGGTTGCTTGGAAACGGAGTAAGTTATCGATTATCGGAAACAAACTCGATCTGCGCGGGCACTAGGAGCACCTACATCTAACAGACGGACATGGCTAGATCGACTCGGCTATTGGTGCTGATCAAGAACATATATATTTTATGGGGTCTTCCTTCTGCCTGTTACATACATTTGCATTTTGCACAAATACAATATACCCTTTTTACCCATTTTCAATGGGTTCAGGGTATAATTATATAAGGACGAAGTCTCAAGAGCTTTCTTTCAAAGGCCTACCTTTAATGAATACGTATTTCTCCGATTTTCGAAATTCAATCAATACTGGAACCGGGTAAGTAACATTTTAAATTAACGCAGCAGGCTTAGAATGCACTTTTTAAATGATATCTATAAATATCGGTAATTCTTAGTTTTAATATTCCCACACGAGGAACTTCCAAATGAATCTGGGGGCATTTCCCTTATGAATTATTATAATAAATATATAATATATATATACAAATTATATTTTATTATTTATTATAATCATCGGACCGTTCTTGGCCAATTTTTGAACATTTACAATATATATTAAATATTTAAACGTAATTTTTATTTCTTTACAAGCGCCATCTCTTGTCCAACTTGAACAATAAAAACATCATCTAGTATGTAATGAGCGCCACCTACCATAAAAACTCACTAGTCCCATTTTTATCTAACTTAAATTTACAATTTTATTGTTCTATTTATTAATAACGGTAAATGACCGATAATTTTAAAAAATATCTTTAAATGTAATTTATTTTTTTGGCGAGAGCCACGCTTACAATCGAAAAGCGCCATCTTTCAGCAATGATACACTTGTATTGTTTTCACAAACCCTTATTACGAATAGTGAGTTAGGCGAGTTGCTTTCTTACGTGATTGCAGAATGGTTTTGGTGGAGATATTTGATAGATTACCGTTGAGTTCGACAATTAGTAGTGCTAAATTCAATAAGGTGCAAAACCTTGCTTTATATTACGAATATCGAATTAAGAGTTTCTTTCGGAAATCGCAACTTTCGGGCATGCCGCACATCGAAACATTTAAAATTTCTACACACGGTGCGAAACTTTGATAGGGTAATATATTTTTATACATTGATTGTTTTAATTTAAGACAGACTGACTGTACATATACCTATATATGTATTTATTTCATTAGAATCATTTGACTTACCTGAAATATTATTTTTTTTTTTACAGAAAAAAGAAAGATTCGAATCTCGGAAGAGAGCTTAATGTGTTGACAGAATGGATTTGGTGGAGATATTTGATAGTTTACCGTTGAGTTTGACAATTAGTACTGCCAAATTCGATAAGGCGCTAGGCCTTGCTTTGTACTGAAAATTTTCAAACGACATAGCATCCTTTATAAACGGTGCAACGCAGAAAATGCTAAATACTACTACGTCACATATTGCACGCATATAAACATGCGTTTACAAAATAAATATACTTTTCCGTAAACATTCGCTGCGTGTGGCTGATGGAATTACCAACTCAATCATGTCCTGTCACTTACTTAACATAGTCAAACGAAAAACACTACGGTCCGTACTCAATTGGTAATGTTACATCAATCAAAAGGAAAAAAGAATAAAATTAAATCGGCTTTGACAATGTAATAGTTTAATTTTACAAATATTTTGCCGATGTTCGTAAACTCAAGACCTTGGTCGAAAGATGAAAAACAAGTTGTTCCAGAAAAAGCATACAACTTGAGGCGATATGCCGCTTCCTGCTGAAAGCAAACCAGTTGAATAGGCTATGTTATGTTGGCCTAACGTAACGATATTAGACTAACATCGGATCTACATCAACGCACGAACACACTGCCTTTTGGGCTCTTACTGTCTGTTAGCAACTGTTAAGAAAATGCTTTTCAACTATTTTACTTGCAGAAATGTATTGATAGGAACTGATAGATTGCTTACAAGAAATCACTAGTCGGAAATGCTTTACTAATAAATACACTGAACCTCCTTCAACCTTAACTAGAAGCAGCTCGTGATACACGCTGATATCGAATGTTATCGATGACTTGGGGTATGACCAAGAATATGGATACCTATGGGATCGGAGCTGCTTCTTTTTGCCTTTTGGTATTTGCATTTATGGGTATTTGCATTTATGCATTTTATTTTACCAAGCAACAATCCAGAACAAAGCCAGTTATTGCAATCTGGTTTATTGGTATATTTTAAATAAGTTAAATATATTTAATATTATTTTAACAGTCGGGTTAAATCTACTCCACCTACAGGCGAGCTGCCATTTCCGTTATTTTATAGCTAGACTTAGTTGTTTTGTTAATACTAGAAAATTTGGCGAATACTCTATATGGCTACAAGTAGAACGAAAAAAAAAGAACGAAATAGGGCTTGCCTATGGTGATACTTGCCTATGTACAGGTTCTTCAGGTTATATAAAGGAACGAGTTTTCGACATAAAAAGGTTAGGATGAGAATTTTATTGATGCTTTTCGTGTGTTGTGATAAGGGCTGACAACATTGTATGGGAATTAACTATCTTTAACTAGATAAGAGAGCCCCTTTTAAACGGAAATATTATATATCTAGAGGATACATATGTACATAAGCTGAATATGGATCTACCATAACATTATTTAAAGACTTTATTTTTACAAGTATTCTGCACTTATGAGAGCTAACATTTTTATACTCACGAGTCCTCTTTTACTGGACTGCGAGTAACATATACTTAATTCATTCATCATTACCGGGTGGGATCAGTGTTTACTTATGTGTAGTATTCCAGTGTTGATTATTATGGCTTGACCAAACGGTACTTGGATTAAGATTTATTAGGTAACAGTTCTATAGGCGGGGGAGTGGTCATAGTTTTCGATTGGGCTCTGGATGCTTCCAGACTAGCTCGACGAGCTGCTGCTGCCATATATGTGCCGTAGTATTTGCTCAGGAGCTGGGGATCGACACCATTAAGTTCCACATAGGCATTTGGCAGCGACATTGTCATTGCCAGCGGCGATGTGTGTGCTGGTGTGGCCGATACGCTCAATGGTCCTGGAGCTGGACCCTCGGCTAGGGGGCATTCCTCTAAAGAATTCGAGTCCTGTTGGCTACTGCTCGCCGCCGAGCTGTCCAATGGCGGGGAAACAGAAACAGAAGCTGAGAAATTGTGGGGCTCCTGCTCTTCAATGTCCGCATCGAATATGGATTGCCTGGCATCGCTAAGGTACGAATTTTGGTCTTCAGGCGAGAGCATATGCTGAATGACTTGGCTTCTTAATGGGTGGCTCATGTGCTTTTGGTGTTGCACCGCATCCTGGCCTTGCAACTCATTAACGTCTCCATCACCATCTCCATCAACATCAATATCTGCATCCACATCGCCATCAGCAGTATTTGGATTAGTGCTGGGACTTTGTCGCTCCACAACCAATTCGCGGTGGATCATTTGCTGTTTTTTTACCTGGACCTTTGTGATAACCGTATGCTGGGTCTGGGTCGATGAGTCCTCATCTTCAACAATATCCACAATCTGCACATCTGGCGCAAGCAGCGAGGCGACATCAAACTGGCGTTTTCGCGTCTGCGAATACAGATTTGCAATTGTGGTAGTCGTTGTAGAGTTGATGTAGGCTATATGCTGATGCTGGGATTGGGGCAGATACTGGTGCAGATGCTGATGCGGGTGCGGGTGCTGTGATAGCGGATAGCTTGGATCCAATCTAGGCTCTGGCTGCTGCTGCTGCTGCTGAATGTGGATCTGCTGCCGCTGGAGAGCTGTGGCTGCAGCCGTGTACTGGGGCAGATTGCAGGGGGGAGTGGAAGCACCAACGACACTGCGACCAAAGAACTGACCAATGTAATGCTGATGGTAGGGATAGTTCAGGGCAGCAAGCTGCATTGATGCCTGCGCGGCTGGTGGTGGTGGTGTGGTTAAGTCTAATGGAGGCGGGCTCGGGGAATCTGTGCTGGCGTCATCAACGGAGAGCCCCATGTGCCTGCGCACCTTGCGCTGGGCTTTCCGTCGCCGAAAGTCACCTTTGCGAAAGTCATCCATGTTGGCGGGATGAATAGCCCAATAATGGCCCTTGCCATTCGCACTGCGCCCAGATTTGATAAAGCAGTCGTTTAGGGATAGATTATGCCTAATCGAGTTCCTCCAGCCGGGCCCACGGGTCCGAAAGTACGGGTAGTTATCCAAAATATATTGATAAATATCTGAAAGCACTAGTTTCATTTCAGCGGAGCTCAAAATGGCCATTGCAATAAGTCCAATATAGCTGTGCTGTGGCTTTGGCTCCTCTGGCTGGAAAATGCGCTGAGACTGAGGGAACAGGGAGATCGTTGATAGCGTTGCCAGACGGTTTCCAGCTCCTGTACAGTGAGAGCTGTATGGATGTAGCCAAGTGGGCAATGCCGTCGAGCCAACGCCCGATCCCGCAGCCGACGCGTATTGGGGACACCGTAGACGCTCAATGTTGAGTGCATAATTGTACAACTGCAAGCGATACTGTTCCAATGCCATGGTGGTCACCTGAGGATGCGTCTGTCGCGGGATTGTCGTGGTGGTTGACCCACAGCCGGTGCTGCCAGGCGATCCGCCAAGGGGATAGATGCCAGTCACGAAATGCGGCTTTAGACTTGGAGCTCGAGCGCCTGCAGGTGTTTGATCCTGTTGTTGACTGGGCGAGGAAGACCGCGATTGGGTTAAGTCTGTGTTTGCCATCGGAATTATTTTTGTTTTGTTTGTTCTTCTTGTTCAATTAGGCAACATTTACAATATTTATAATTATCACACAAGCCTCATCGACTTCTCTTTGTACGAGACACATTTCAAATTCTTTAAATTGAAAACTGAAAGGAAATTTTTTCAAATTTATTTTATTTTAAGTAAACAAGTAATCAAAATTTAAATAAGTTTTTTATTAAAAATAATCTGTTTTACTCCCTATTTCGCAGAATCTCCAAACATTTTATATTAACAGTAGCTGCATTAACTCGGCGCTGAGTCGGATAAATTCTGCTCGATTTAGGGCGGAACTTCATGTGGGGTCAATAGGGTCGACGGACCAACGATATGCTTTGTGTTGATCTTCGGTATTTATGTTAATGAGAGCTCCACTTGATGTCACTTGCAAAGTGATGGCCGTGTTTCTCGTTTTCACGCTTGATATAATAAAAACACACTTCAAATCTCGAGAGTATTCGCGGCCGTCCGTTTTAAGTAGTTCGTAAGCATGTCCAAATGAATATTTATGAATATATTCGTATATGTAGTCTTATAAGTATGAATATGTATATATACCTCTACATCCAGCATAACAATATGAATGCACATAGGTGCGCTAATTGTTTTCTTTTTATTGTTATGCTAATCGATCCTATGAGCATCCACCGTTGATAACAGGCGAATATTGTTTGTCTTTTTCAGAAAACCACCTTTCTTTTAAATGTACTTATAGCGCGGTCTGTTTACCCCGTATACCTGGCATTAGATGGTAATTTTTCTTATTCTCCCAATCGACGTTCACCCTGTGCTTATTAACAACTATTACACGAAACATTTTCAGGAATCAGACAAGTATGTTCTTAGGTCATCCAGACTGGTAGTCTTTTTCAAACGCACAGTGAGCTTGACATTTCCTGGGTTAAAGAGTAAATAGCAAAGACCAGTGACAGGTACGCCAGATACACTTGGAACTCCAAAAGGAGGCACCCGCTTGACCTCCTGATAAAAAAAAATAGAACCCTCAAAACTAATACCCTGCCTACCCACCGATCGCATCCAACCCAAACAAATTCTATCTCTTAATATTAAACAAGTAAGAGGTTCTAGTCGGGAGCTCCCGACTAGGGGATACCCTGAACCCTCTTATTCCAACACCAAATAAATTAATAAAAAAAAGTTCCCTTGGCAGGGTTCGAATTTGCAACTGACCGCATTACTTACTGTTGACTCTACTCAACAGCCACACCAGCAAAAAAAAAAAATTAATAATACTTTCCCCGGTAGGGCTCGAACTCGCGACAGACCGCACCACTTGCTATGCCTCTACTCAGCAGCCACAGCAACAATTAAGTAGTTATGATAAAAAAAGGAACTAAAATAACATAACAAAAAAAAGATGTAATTACCATGCTATTAGAATGCGAAGCAGACGCGCATGAATGTGTGTGTGTACATGTATACAGAAATTCTTAAAGCTGCTGCCCTATTCAATTGCGCAGTTGCATATAACTTTGTTTTTTCTTAACCGATCTTTATGAAATTTTCTACAGTATATCTTATTGTACCATAGAATATTTGTGTATTCTGAAAAAATCAATTGCATTTAAATTGTGGTTTAAATTGGTTGGCAATAAAAGTTGGGTTATTAACTTGATTTATAGCTCTGTGGTGGTAGCGGGGGGGTGGCGATAGGTATGAAATGAAAGATACTTGAAATATCTATAATATTCTAGAAGCAACATATCATGTTTGGTGGCTCTAGCTCTTATTATTTACCCAATTTGCTAAAAAAAAAACAGGATGTCGATATCGATTTTTATCGATTGCTTGGAAACGGAGTAAGTTATCGATTATCGGAAACAAACTCGATCTGCGCGGGAACTAGGAGCATCTACATCTAAAGTCAAGTCTCTAGCTCTTATAGGTTCTGAGATCCTTTGGCTCATACATACGGACAGACGGACGGACAGACGGACAGACGGGCGGACGGACGGACAGACAGACGGACATGGCCAGATCGACTCGGCTATTGATGCTGATCAAGAATATATATACTTAATGGGGTCGGAGAGGCTTTCTTCTGCCTGTTACATACATTTGGATTTTGCACAAATACAATATACCCTTATACCCATTTTTAATGGGTTCAGGGTATAAAAAGATGAGACATTACATAATTAAAATACAATCTACAATTAAAACCAGAACTAATACATTCTGTTTCCCAAACTGAGTAATATTTGTTTCCCAAACTGAGTAACATTATGTTTATTTATTATTTATTGACGTTTTGTTCTTTAATCCTTCTTTTCTTTTAACCCCATTTTTGTTAATGTAGCCCAGATTGGATCATATATAAAAACAATAAAGCTTGCAACTGCGCAAAAAAGAGAAAATAAGGATACCTTCTGCACGCCCAAGATTTAATAACAAGAAGATTTGATAAACAAAAAAGTTTTCATATAAAAACCTCCTTTTCGATAGATCGTTCCTATGGTAGCTTTATGATATATTGATCCGATATAGATAGGATCTTGTATATATGAAAGGAGCATTAGTAAGCTAATAAATTTCGAGCTATGTTCGAACATTTTGAAACAACAAAAAAGTTTTTCATACAAGTACCCACTTGCGATCTATCGTTCTTACTGCTCACAACTACGCCAATATTTAAGGATATGTTAATAATTAATCTTGACAATACTTTTCACTGCAGTCAATTACTGAAAAATTGCCAATTGCTTTTAGCGTAAGAAGTTTAGTTTCAAGTATACTTGATGACTCTTTTCATTGTCCTCAGGTAACATAGCCACACTTATCACTTATGGCTATATAGCCATAGCTATAAAAAATACTGTTCCGATTCCGCCGGTTACGAAATATGTACTGCGTGCAGCAAAAATACCTAGATGTCGTAGATGTCTGCTTCTAAGCGTTACAAATTTTATGCTAAAATTAAAGTACACTCTTCAAGGGTATAGAAATATCATATTTCCATTTTTGTTGAAAACTAAATTATGTATATTGCATTATTAAATTAAGTTTCTTATAATGTGTTCCCAGCCTCGCCTTCGACATATGTTTGCATACAAATAAACGGACATTAATTTGTCGGCCCAGCGCGTCGTCCTGGTCACTCTGGAGTCGGATATGTTAATTTCGGGACAACATAAAATTTCACTTCGCAAGGATTATCAAACAATTAATATACTGCTCACAACTACTCCAAAACTTAAGGACATGTTAATAATTAATTTTGACAATACTTTTCACTGCAGTCAATTACTGAAAAATTGCCAATTGCTTTTAGCGTAAGAAGTTTAGTTTCAAGTATACTTGATGACTCTTTTCGTTGTCCTCAGTTAACAGTTATCACTTATCACATACACTTATTGCCGTTGCAATACAATTTTAATTTCTATGTTATATCAACGTAAGTTCAAGGGCATTAAGGGCACTTAAACTTGAGTGCACACAACTTTATTATACGAATTTATTGTCATATATATTATTTGGCCAAACTTTTAAAGGCTTGTATATACACTTTTACGTTTAACTGAAGTATGTAGGTTATTTTAATATTAATTTTAAGTATGTTTTGATAATTATAAATCCATGTCGATATTACTGGTTACAACTAGCTGCGTGGTAAATTTATTCCGGAATATGTACCTTGTGTATATAGGCGATCGATCGAAAATTAGATTGCAACTATCCGCAAGCCAGGTATAATAGACTAATAACTCAACTCGCGTTGAGTTTGAAATCATGCGTGTGGTCGGCGCTGAGTTTCAACTGGGTCTGGGTGAGTAAGCAAAAATTGCTTTTGCAAAATGGATGAGGTTGGCCTGACTAGTCGCACGCCTCGCAGGGTAGTAGCACTGGAATAGGCCCCGCCCAAAGTCGTGTGTATGCTGCATTTTGATTGCTGCTTACTCTGCCAGACTGTAGGGCTGGCCGTTTACAACAGGTTCGAACAGCCAACCAGATTCGCTTTCGCTGTTATTACAACAAATACATACAGAACTCTTGTTGTCGTTGCTGACAAGCCCTTTGAATAGTCGCGGATCTAGCTATCTTACTTCCTCAAGCGCACTCAGGATACATTAGTTTCAAAATGTCGAAAACACCTTCGGGTATATTGTTTAATCATTTTTATCAATTAAATGTTGGAGCCACACTCTGAAACAAGCAAGAGTGCTCGCGCCGAGAGTGCTTGAATGGGAGATACTTCGTACCGAGCTCCGAATATCATACATATACATGTTCGCATACAGTCAGATCGCAAGCAGTCCGTACCTTTCCATATTTTGAAAATGTATTTAAATGACAACCGTACTTATTTCCCGAATGTAACACAGCTGGTAAGGCTCAAGCAAGAAATGTAGATCTATAAATAGTATGATAATGATATCTACGAATGTGATTATAATTTGTATATACCCATTGAAAACGGCCAAAAAGATATAATGTTTATGTACAAATGTATGTAACAGGAAGAAGGAAGGATCTCCAACCCCATAAAGTGTATATATTCTTGATAAGAATCAAAAGCCGTGTCGATCTAGCCATATCCGTCTATCTGTCGGTATATAGTATATACGGACAGACGGACACGGTAAATCGCTGCGGCTATTGATGCTGACCAAAAATACACTTTATGGGGTCGGAGATACATACCTTCACACAAAACCATAACAAGGGTGTTTTAGGCAGTTTCAATGGGTTCAGGGTATAGAAAGGGTAAAACAATAAACTCAAAGGTTTAGAATGGCTACTCACATTTTTAAACTGTAAAGAATTATTATTTTTTAGATACCTTAAATTCATAATCAATAAATTTAGATATAACATAATATCCTTAAGCTGTAAATTTTGATCTTATAATATGATACAATATGTTTAAAAATCAAAAACTAGCAAAATATTTGAACGGATAAATAATGATTCAAACAATTTTGCATATCATTACAAAATAAAATGTTTAGTATATAGCT